ATATGTTGAAAGCATATAATCTTGGTGTACACACCTTTCCTGAATTTAAAGCATTCAGTATTTGCTTGTTCTGCATCATGCTCTATGTGCAGATTCCTAATGAACACAAGAAAGTGTTCTAGAAAACCCATTCTTCACAATGTTATCCTTAGATTAGATTGATGCACAGAGTTAAAAGCTTTCGAGTAGTAAAAAAAAACACAAGTAAGTATCTTTCTGGTGTTCTCTGCTTTCAACTATAATGAATCTGACCTAAGCAATGATCTGCTAGAGTAGTGCTTACAAGTTGGGCTGCTAACGTCAAGGTAAGCAGTTTGATATACCACCGGTTCAGGACAAAGATGAGGCTTTCTGCTCCCGTAATGATTTGCAGGGTCGAAAACCCTATACCAGGTCGCTATGTGTAGGAACCTACTCGACGACACTTAACAACAACCAAAACACAAGCAATGATATAGTAGGCCTTGTGTGACGCTGTGGGTTAATGCTCCAGATTGCAAAAGCTTTTGAACTGCAAGGTCGGCAGTTCAGGCTCACCAGCTGTTCCTCGGAAACTCTATATAAGATCGCTATGAGTCAGAATCAATTCTAAGGCACTTAACAACAACTATAAGCAATGCTATCCCAATTCCCATGTCCTTTTTTGATATATTTCTGCAACTGTTATTAATTTTCTTCATCAAAATACTATTGTAATCAAAATTAAATACATTGTTTCATGATTTCCACATTCTGTTGCATCATCTTTTTATGGAATGGACACAAACATGGATCTCTTCCAATTCCTTGTGCAGGTTGTTGTTGTTGTTAAGTGCCATCGAGTCGATAACGACCCATAGCAACCCTGTACAGGGTTTCCAAGGAGCAGCTGGTAAGCTTGAACCACCAACTTTGCAGTTCAAATGACTTTGCAGTCTGACACATTAGCCCACAAGGCCATACGGTAGTTATCTTAAAAATTTATTGGTATAGATAAATGAGCACTTCCAGTGCTCCATCAATTTGCTGAAACTTTTTAATTTGGAATCCATCAATTACTGGTGATTTATACTGTGGAACTGTTTCCGAATTACACAAACCCGGTTTAGTGTTTTCGAGATTGTAAATTGTTATGGGAATAGAATCCTGGAGACTTGTTTTATGTCAGTGCCTTCATTGCAACACAGAATTCTTTCCGCACATTCTATACTAATAAGCTACAGCTTGAAATAGTTGAATATCAACCATTTCTTTCTAGTACAGTGACCCTGAATATTCCCTTCATCTTTTTTGTTATTTTTAGCATTAATTAAATATTTTGTAAATGGGATCTTTCTGTATGTCAAGTCAAGGTCCCTATGTATAGTCATCACTTTTTGTAGTTGAAAAACAGTATTTGCAATGATGAAGTCTTTCAAATTTCTGTCATGTGATCTCCAGCATCATTTATTTCACTAAGATCATTATTTTTCCAACTACTGATCCTTCCTCTTTATTTCCAACTTTCACATTGCAATCACCAATAATTATCAGTACATCTTGAATACATTTTGTTCAATTTCAGACTGAAGAACTTGGTAGAATTCTTCGATTTCTTCATCTTGACTCCAGTGCTTGATGCTTAAATATGAAAAATTGTAGTACTATCTGGTTTTCCGAGTATGCACATGAATATTATTCTATCACAGACAGCGTTGTATTTCAGGACAGATCTTGAAATGATCTCTTTGACAATGAATTTCAGACCACATCTGTTTGATTTGTCTTTCTTGACAAATAAGACATATGATTTTCTGGTACAAAATGTCTCATACCAGTCCATTTCAAATCACTAATGCCCAGGTCTTCATGTGACTTTTTGGATCTTTATTCATTCCATTTCAAGTTTTGATGATTCCCAATATCCCAGACTCATACTTTGTACATTCCTTGTTCTGATTATTAATGGAAGCTTGCGACTATTTCTTTCCATCCATTTTTTTATTTGTGTGCCATCAACAAACAAGTCCTGAAAGCTTAGTGCTGTCTAATTTATTAAGATCAACTCTACTTTGAGGAGACAACTCATTTCTATTCTTATTTTGAGAGACTTACAATCTTATTGGCTCATCTTTAAGCACCATATTAAATGATATCTCACCGATACTTATAAGGTTTCAGTGTCTAACTATTCAAAAATGTTCCCTCTCTCTTTCCGCTTAGTCTGTCTTAGTTTGGAAGCTGTTATTAAACCTACCCACCATGCGTGTCCTTGGTAGTATTTGATATGCCAGTGGCACAGCTTTCAGAATCACAGCAACACTAACTCATCAAAGAAGAAAAAAGTGACAGAAGAGTAAAAGTTTTTTTTTTTTTGTCTCTAATCAACAAATGCTGGAAAATGCCTTGAGAAATTCCCTAGCTGTTTTGGTAGCTTTGGTATGAGGTAGTAGGTGAGAACTATTTACTCTTGAGTTCTATTTCTAGACACTCTTCATAGCTTCTTAGGTTCTCATTCAATGTTGTTGTGTTTTGTTTTGTTTTGTTTTTTCAGATTGACAGCTATTAATAAGAATATTTAAAGATTTGTCAAAATTACTTCTTTCCTTAAGAAAACTTATAAGGGTGGTAATTACCACTCTGAGGGTAACACATATTTTTGGTTATATATCAAGTGTGAGGGTCTGTTCAAAATCAAATTCATATCACTATATCTTTTGTTTTGTTTGTTTTCCTTAAAAAAAAAAAACTATATTATAATGGTCCCCATTTCCTGTCATCTTTTTTCTGACTGTTCAGTTATTAGTTTTAAAACACTGATACTTAAACTTAAAACTCTATACAATTTTCTCTCATACATCAATTTTACTCCTATATCTTAAGAAAACAGAATTCTATTGATAGACAATATTTGTTTCTTTTTACTGCAAAGCATATAAATTATATTAATAATCATACATGAAAGTGAGACTCTATACATCTCCAATGATCTAGGGAACATTTTTAAATACCTTTCTTTTGTTAAGTTTAGCAACAGAAAATTTGTAATTTCATTACTTAACAAACATTATTAGAGATCTAAATAATCTCATGAGTATAGTGAAATGATGTTTATGAATCAAGAGAAAGGATGAGTTGGCCTCTGTGAAAGTGCAAATCACCAGTTCCCATGGGCTTATCAGAGGGATGACCTATATATATATATATCCTAAAGGAAAACAAAAGTTTGTAAGGAATCCAGAAGTCGACATGATTATAGGACTAAAAGTGACTGCAATTTTACTTACTCAAGAGCTGGCTCATGGAGTTTTCAGGTCTCTCTACATTATACAAAATGAATATTCATGTTAGGGAAGATAAACTTATTCCCTCATTTCTCAGGTATTCCTGTATGCTTTCATTTATGTGTTTCTTTAAAATTACTAATCACTTCTCACTGAATACAAACAGAAACATGTGTCAAGTATATTAGCATACATCATATGTCTGATCCATATGATTAATTTATGCTAAAAATAAGTTAATATTTTTCACTTAATATTTATTTTAAGTAGCAATAAGTCGGGCACTTAGCAGTTACCAAAATTTTTAAAAACAATAAAATGCCATAGAAATACAACAAGTGTAAGTAGAACAATGTTATTATTGTTATTATAAATTTATATAACATAGTAGGGCAATTATAAAGTATATTATAACAACAAATGGATTCTATTCAAATAAAGTTTAAAAAGTGAAAATTTTAGCATTTAGAAAGGTAAAAACCTCTAAATTACTTTTGATATTGAAATTAGAATGTCCCAAAATAATTAATTTTAGCAATGTAAAGGTAAATAAAATTTCTTGATTTGAAATGCTTCAAAACATACACAAATAATTAACTTGAAGCCGTTTTTTGTTTGTTTGTTTGTTTTTTGTTTTTCAGTGTTTTCAAATCGGTTTTGATTCATAGCAATCCTGTAAAGGGTTTCTGAGGAGCAGTTGGTAAGTTTGAACTGCTCAACTTCTTTTCACAGTCTAGTGCTGAATTTATAGAGCCATACCAGAAGTCCAAGATGAAGTTAGATTAGCTATTATTGAATGGGAAGTATTCAAACAAAGCCACAGAAGCACAGAGGGGTAGAATCTGGACAGAATATTAGTGTTTCATTAAATATTGGGATGTACTGCTGACAGAAATACAGGCTGCTTTGTGAAGGAACATTCTAAGGTCAGATTTCTTTTTTCTTATGGATTTTGTGCAAAGGAGGTGTTAAAGTAAAGTGATCATAAGGGAACTCAGGGTACAAATTACCAATGGGAAAATTATACTTATTGGACTCTGGGTCTGCTCAAATTTTTATAGATGATGCTTCAAAGGAAGAAAGAAAATGAACACACGTATGTAATATCGAGTGACTGAAATGAAAGAATGGTAAGTCATAGTCTATGCGGTACCATGAAGTTTAAAATAATTCTTAAGATAGATTCAGAGCCACTCATTAATTTTGTTACACAAATTCTTTTCAGAGCATTTGTTCCCAGAAGGAGGACATCAGATGCAATTTTAATTCCTTGGCACATGAAAAGATCCAGTAATTGCTGTGCAGTTGTCAAACTGAGATGAGAAATTATTTGTAGCTGATAATAATTGCAACTCTGTTTTTGGGGTGGGGGGACAATTTTGAGAGAACTTTCTAATTAAAGAAATTTGAAAAAAAATCACAGATTGTGTCTAGATAGAGATTAAAAAACGATTTTATAGAAATGTACAAATGTGACTCAATATTCAAAATATTGTTCGTTCTTTATTTCATTTTTAATCCATTAATGACTTTGATTATTAAAAACTATTCATGTTGGAAGTTATATCTCAGTATATTTTGTGAAAAAATTGAAACAAAAATATGCACACATTGACTTCATCTATCCTGACCCCTTGTTTAGAGATCATAATTGCTATAATTATTTAGTAGGTATTGTGGATTATTACATTTTGTGTTTTAGTCTCATTTTTAAACTTTGTCCTTTGTTGCTAAAGAGATTGCAGCATACTAGCAAGCATGACCAACCTCACTATCATCACAGAATTCCTTCTCATGGATATTTCAAGCAGCTGGGAACTCCAAGTTTTACAAGGTCTGCTGTTCTTAGTGATTTATCTGGGAGCCATGGCTGGAAATCTTCTGACTATTTTAGTCATTGTGACAGACCCACATCTTCACTTTCCTATGTATTTCTTTATAGGCAATATATCTTTCATAGATGTTTGCTCTATTTCAGTTATTGTTCCCAAATCAATTGTGAATTCCTTGACAGGTAGAAAATCAATCTCACTTGAAGAGTGTGCTGCTCAGATTTTCCTGTATACTTTCTTTGCATCTACAGAATTTGCTTTTCTTGTGGTGATGTCTTATGACCGCTATATTGCCATCTGTCATCCCCTGCACTATGGGCTCACTGTCACCCCACAGGTGTGTGCACAGGCAGCAGGTGGCTCATGGGCCAGTGGGTTGCTGTATTCAGCTGTGCATACAATTAACATGTTTAGGTTTCCCTTCACAAAGTCCAATGTGATCCATCAATATTTCTGTGATGCACCTCAAATTTTAAGGATATCATCTTCAAATATTCAGTTTTCTGAGTCTGTACTCCTACCTATAAGTGCAGGCATTCTCTTAGCATGTTTTATCTTCATGCTTATGTCATATGTAAAAATATTTTCTAGTGTGCTTCAAATCTGCTCGGTGGAAGCCAGGAACAAAGCTTTATCTACTTGTACCCCACAGTTAGCTATTCTTCTTTCATTTGTTATTTCTGGTTCAATTGCTGCCCTTGGTCCTATTGCAAATACACCATCTCTTAAAAATCTTCTGACAGCCATGTTCTACACCATGCTGCCTCCATTTATAAATCCCCTCATCTATAGTCTGCGGAACAGGGAAATTAACAGTGCTCTAAGAAGGCTGTACCAAAAATATTCTGAGTTCCCAAAAAGGGTTTTACTTGACTGAGATCTTAAAAACAAGAAAAATTGAAATAAGTTTAATTTATATTGTCTGTATGTCCTTAATTTAAATCTTTACCTGTCAAATACCTAGCATTTAGTTGTGTGTTATTATTTGTGTAGTTCTCGTACATGATTATTAGCTATACATCTGGTGTCTTAGTTTAACTTTTAAAACAAAGTTAACTGAATAAACCAGTTGTCATCATTGTCAAATCCATCTCATTGATGTCTCACGTGTATCCGAGTAGAGCTGTATTCCATTGCTTCAGGAATAGGTCACTGATTCAGGAACAGATTACTCCCTACTTATCTGTGGGTGGATAAGAACCTACAAAATTTTGGTTACAGTTTGCAGCACTCAGATACTCCTTGTTATTCTTATCCATTAAAAGCATGGACTTCCATCACAGAATATAGTTTGGAAGGTTTTGTTCTCTCTCTGATTCTGGGTTAAAGATAGATTCTTTTGTAAGTGTTTATATTGTTCTGTATCATGCCATGTTCTCTGCATGATACAGAACAAGGGATTGGTATATGGAGTGGAGTGAGAAACAGCAGTTAATGAATTTTAATTTGTCTTCAGGATACCAGTTATGGCATGTAATATGTAATGCATAATGTCCCCAAAGTAAGATGCAAAAACATTTGTCTCAAGATGGAAATTTTATTTTTCTAATTCTCAAGTTTTAAGCCATCATGATGAAGACTAAAGATTATTTTTAAATGATTATTTCTGATAATCTAATCCCAGGAAGATTGCTTTTATGATTCAAATGTTCTTTGTAGAAAAGTTTCTGTGTTTAGAAACTTATGGTCATTGAACTTCATCCTGGACCTAGCACACACACACAAATGTCAGGTTCTTAAAGGTTCTCTATGCAATATTCAGTGTAGAGTACAGCATTGCATGATTTTTTTTCCCCCAAAGATAATGTTTCTGTTGTTGTTTTGTCAGGATAAAAAGTACACACAGATCTCTTTCTGTAGTTTAACATTTGATTGGAGGAATCATACCCATCTGTGGGCTTCCCTTTTCACTCTTCTTATTGCTTAACTCAGAGTAACTTTTACAGGTGTTGTCTGCCTCCCTGGCTTATGGTATTGGTTCTTGAATGGATTGTGGGGTTTTATAGGGTGTGATGGTAGCTTGACTATATGGCAGCAATTATTGTCTTTTCTTGGGTAATATAGGGAGAGAAAGAATCCCCCAAAAGGTAAAAAGAGCAAAACAGCAACTGCAAAAAATAAAACAAGGAAAAAAAACCACCAAACTACAACAGCAAAACTAAATTGGAGACTGTAGTCTATCATTACAGAAAAGGGAGAGAAGAAAAAAAAAAATCTGTTGCCTAATATGAGTTTGATTTTAATATCCTTTTTCAGTTTCTTCCCTTAAAGGTCTCCTGATAAATTTCAAAATGCCACTTTTGTTTGTTATGCTATATACCCCAGGATTTAATTTTTGGTCTATTTTGTTTTTAATGTCTCTCTCCCTCTCCACAACCCTTGTCCTGGCCTTTTCCCAATTAATAAATATTTCAGGGCCAGCTCTTGAGCTGCCTCTCTCTTAAAATGCTGAGAATATCAGCGCACATGCATGGCAAAGAACCCACCAGTGGTGTTTGTGGGGTTGTCCACTTGCTCAGGCATGCCCTCCTGTCCCCAGAGTGCAAGTGTGCAAACTGCGGTACAAATGAACAGATAACAAACAAACAACAACAAAAAAAATCAGAACAAATAAAAAACAAAAAAGTGTATTTTCCAACTTTGCTCCGAGGTTCCCGTGTCATTATTCCATGGTAGATCTCCTCTGCCACTTGGTCTTGCCCTTTGGCCTTGCCTAGGTTGTCGGCTCTGGGCTACTGACCCAGCAGATTCTAAAGTACAGGATTTCTTACTTCTGATACATGTACCACTAGCTATATATGCCTTCAAACTTTTTGAATATTCCTAGATATGTGGTTCAGAGTTTCAGAGCTCTCACCTGAACCCATTTCTTGTATTCTGTATTATTACTGACGGAGATCTTTACTGCAACTCTAACCTCTGTCATCAAGCCCCACCTCCCCTAATGTATTTGATTTTATTTTTTTCTTTAGTTTTGGCATTAGACTGGCAAATACCTTAAACATATGAATATCTAAGCAAATATTAGTTGATATAAATTTGAAATAAAAGTTATATGTGCTAACATGCATTGCCACTTAAGTTTATTTCACATATAGTTTTCATTCTCATAGCTACATAGAACATTATGTGATACATGAAACATTGTACAGATTCACTCATATCTTAGCCTCAATAATAAATTGTAAGGTATTAGTTATTAGTTTTTGTAGCACGTTATTAATCCAGGCCTTAATTGCACAATCCCTCAGTAATTCCCATTTACCTTTTTTTCTGTCATAATTTATGGTATCAGAAAAAGTTCCTTCCTAATCCTCTAACCATCACTGAGTAGAAATAACCTTTGCATTTCTTTAGGATGCTTAAGAACCATGTACAGGTAATATAGCATTTTGTTTCCTCAATGTTGCAGGTGCCCATAGTCCATGTCCCAGTTTAAAGAAGGATTGATTATCTGTGATCTGGATTTAAAACATGCTGCAAAGCATAGAATTACATGCCATGCAGTTTATAATTATACCACACTGTTTATTATTGATGTGTTGCATTCCATATCTCATAGAGGACATATAATAATCATGAGAAATGAGAATTTAGTATTTTATAGTTAAGTGCCATGGAGTTTGTTCAACTCATAGTGACCTTTATAGGGTTCCCAAAGAGTAGTTGGTGGGTTTTAATTGCTATGCTTGTGCTTATAGCTCAGTGCTCATCCTACATTGCCACACCTGAAGTTCTAAATATCCGTTGTTTATAAAAAAGCTTAGTATATTATTTTAGCAATTGGTATTTAGGGTGTGGGGTTAAATTTCTTCAGAACAATTTAGTCAAATATACTGAAGTTGATTATAATTGAAAATATCTGTTCCCACTTAAGACAGAAGCTATCAACACAGAAAAGCCAATACACAGCATTAAGAAGTTTTGAGGAAAATATTGAGAAATTTGTATGATTGAAACCATAGGAGTTGTAAAACACTTTGTAAACTGATACTTGTAGTAACTTGGATAACAGTCAATGTCTCCAATTTGTATCAGTATTAAAAGTAAATAAACTAGGCAAACAACACAGTATACTGTGGTGCTTGCTATAGACTGCACATATAATGATTCAGTAAGAGGGAGATGATCTCAGAGAGGAATTGATTTGTTTGCTAGCATGATTTCAGGGGATACAAAAACAAAACGTTATCAAACACTTTCATAATTGTTGTACTTCTCTTTAAATTGCTCAATTCCCATCATTGGAGACATTAGAAATCACCAACCAATTCTCAGAAGATTAACATAGTCCAACTTGTGCTTGGATTCTATTCTAAGGATAGAAGACAAGAAATGCAAGATTCCAGCAGAGAAAGAGCAGGAAATTTTATATTGTTGTTTTGTTAATTTTCCCCCCATTGGTACTTGTCATTACCATCTACGTAATCAATCAGAAGCTATCCTTTGTCAATTCTCCCATTGCATCTCCATTGTGAGGAAAGGAGACTCTGATCATGCATTTAGATTTCAAAGAGGATGAGATTCCTCATCCTATAAAAAGAGTCACTTGCATTCTTCCCAAAATGTCATAAGTGATAGAACTATTAGCAAGATTTATTGTAATTAGGGAAGCATAAACATTTATCTTCCCATCAGGTATTTACTATTAGTGAACCCAAAGGTAGGCAGTTTAAACCCAACAACTGCTCCTTGGACTCCCTAAACAGGGTTGCTATGAGTCAGAATTGACTGCTGGGATAGGTGGTGTGCCTTGGAGTCAGATTCGAGTCTTAGTGACCAATACTGGGTTTCCGAGGAACAGAAAAATCCTCACATTTTCCCCCTGTAACTGTTGGTAGTTTTGAACTGCTGACTTTGAAGCTAGCAGCTCATAACCCCTAAAATACCAGAGCAACAGCACTTATCTCCCTGCCCAAAAGCAGGTAACACATTAGGTCTCATAAGCTATAATTGATAGCACCTTGAAGCCCATTATCACACCTTGAAGCCCATTATCAGATATTTACAAGTGAAATGAAATAGAAAGTTAGCAAAAACAAATTTGTCTCAGTAGAAGAAGTGGTTGTAGTTAAAACTCAGTTTTGTGCCAAAAATCAAATCAAAGACCTCTTAATTGAGTAAAAGAGCTCAGTATAATCTACAATTATACACATTGGATCAGGTGTGTACTCTTCTGCTATAGGTAGTCACATCTTATGAGAGAGGCATTTCCTAAAAATAGGTGTGCATTGTAATTGACTAAGTTTATAAAAGAGTTACAGATCCAAAAAAGAGTTCTTTGTTCTCTGTTTCTTAACCTTCTATAAGCAGGAAGAGACTGAGAAAATTCTATAACCAGCAATGAGAAATAGTCTCCATGAATTTGGTTAAATATCCAGAGTAAAAATAATCAAAATGAAAGAATTAACTAATGTGTCAAGCTAATATTTACTGAATAAAATGACCTGAGAAGCTGCTCACAGTGAAGATACTTGTGTCCTAATTGAGTAGTCCTAGTGTGGTTATGAGTTGGGCTGCGAACTGCAAGGTCAGTAGTTCGAAACTACCAGCTGTTCCGTGGGAGACAGATGAGGCTTTCTGCTCCCGTAAAGAATTACAGCCTTGGAAACCCTGTTAAGGTCGCTATGAGTCAGAATCGACTCCACGGCACATGCCAGCACCACCAGTGTGGCGCTATGGGTTAAAGCACTTGATTACAAAGTCAGTTTGAGCAACAAGGTTGGCAGTTCAAGCTCACCAGTCTCTCCTCAGAAACCCTATACAGACTCTCTGTGCATTGGAGCCAACTCAATGGCATTTCATACAGTAACAATTGAGTACTAAACCCAGGTGTAATTCCAGAATTTGAATGGAGTACTATGATTATCATATGCG